AAAAAAAAAAAAAAAAAAACAACGTTTACAAAACATTCCGAAAAACATATATGTTATGAAAAAATATAAACTAAATAACATTTGTTTGGGCACTACATCCAAATTCGTTACCAAATTTGAATCAAAAATCAAATACAAAAAATAAATACTATGATAAAAATAAGAAAAAATAAAAAGAGAATTAAAATGAGTGAGCGTGCCAACACCTTTTCAACACCGCCATCTTTGCCGATTTTTAATTATGTTTTGGCATTGACAAATGCCCTGAAAATTTATTGATATATACTTTACTTAACCAATAACTCGTTAAAATAAAATAAAAAAAAACAATAAAATTTTTTAGGCCCTGAAATAAAGTGAAAACAGAAAGATAAAAGTGAAAAAAAACAAAATAGTGAGTGGGCGAGCACGTTTTGACGCCCCCATCTTTGACGATTTTTAGTGTTTTTTTGGATTAGTAGAATGACTTCAAAATTTATAGGCGTGTAGGTTAGATCAAAGAGAACTCAAAAAACAAAATTCAGAAAAACAAACTTATTTTTAGGCCCCAAGAAAAATTTTGGCGGGGGCCGAACCTGGAGGTGTTCGGCCCCCGAACGGGACCTCGAACGCCCGAACGTTCGGGGACCAGCCCGGGGCCCCCCAAACGTTCGGTCAGGTAACCTTGATCATCTATATTTTTTCATTTCTCTTAAATTTCTTGATGATGGCTCAAAGTGCTGCTTTAATTCCTTGATATGATATGAGATATGCTTCACAACTTCTAAGATTATACTTTTCTAAAGAGAAAAAATATTCTTATTATGTTAATGCCAATTGAGTTAATCATACTTCCTGTCAAATTGAACTTCGTAGTTTTCTCTGTTTATCTAGATAAGACGACGAGTCAATTGGAAGTGGTGCATAATTTACTGGGTATTCATTATAATTCACGTCTTCATGTACATACACGTGTAGATGAAATAATTCTTATTTGTTCAATAGTCAAAATATTTTCGACAACCGGTTGGTGGGAATACAAAGTGTGAAATATGTTTGGTGTGTTTTTTCCAGCCATTCTGATTTATGTCGTATATTAACAAATTATGGTTTCAAGGGTGATTTGTTACGAAACGATTTTTCCTTAGTGAATATGTACAAGTATGATACAATGATTCAGAGAAACATGTGACTTGTGCGCCTTTTGAAATGACTCGAGAACTTCGTTATTTTGATTTTCCAAGTCCTTGGGTCCTTGTTTGAAAGCCATGAAGATTGATGTCAAAATTCTCTTTATGCATTTTAAAAATAACAATTTGTATAGAGTTTCATTCCAAAAACAAGTATACCCATCTATACTAAAATGAAGTCAACATACACAACCATTTAACTTATGAAAACTCAACATTGGTCAATGCTGAGTTAGGAAGAAAAATACATTATTAGCTAAGTCATTGAAGTGATTGTGGATTCTCTATATGAATTGCCCTCTTCTACTGGGCCTAGTAAGGCATTTTGCAAAGTACGAAATTGAAACAACAAGAAATGTTTTTTGTAACAAAATTCGTCTGTCGAGTTTACAAAGTTGTTAGCAATGGTGGATATTTTTAGTATTTGCGGTAGAAAAAAAAAAAATCTTAGGCTAACAACCAGGGTTGCCGGCGTTCGGGACGGGCCGAACGCCCGAACGTACGGGACCCCTTTGGAAGGCGTTCGGCAGTTCAAGCCGAACGCGGACAAAAAAAAAAAAGAAAATAAAGTTTTCAAAAAATTCAAAAAAAAAAAAATGTTATGGAGAAAAATAAACTAAACAACATTTGCCCGGGCACTACATCCTCATTTGTTGCCAAATTTGAATTAAAAATCAAATTTTAAAAATAAACACTATGATAAAAAAAATAAAAAATAAAAAGAGAATTAAAATGAGTGAGTGTGCCAGCACCTTTTCGACACCGTCATCTTTATCGATGTTTAATTATTTTTTGGCATTGACAAATGCCCTGAAAATTTACAGATGTGTAGGTACATAATCAATAACTCATTTAAAAAGTTTCAAAAAATAATTAAATTGTTTAGGCCCCGAAATAAAGTGAAAACAAAAAGTTAAAAGTGAAAAAAAAAAAAATAGAGAGTGGGTGAGCACCCCTATCTTTGACGATTTTTAATGATTTTTTGGCTTGGAAGAATGGCTTCAAAATTCATGGGCGTGTAGGTTACATCATAGAGAACTTACGAAAAAAAAAATAAAATATATATATATTTTTAGGCCCTGAAAGTTTTTTTGGCGGGGGCCGAACCTGGAGGTGTTCAGCCCCCGAAGGGGACCCCAAACGCCCGAACGTTCAGGGGCCAGCCCGGGGCCACCGAACGTTCAGTCAGGTAACCCTGCTACCAACCGTGACGCCTAGGTCGCCTTGTTTACTTGGGCTACCTTGACCGTGCAAGGACCATAGAAAATTCTTATAAAAAAAACAAAAAAATCCTAAAAACAATTATGTTATGTACTAGGCTACCAAAGTGGCTCACGATCCCTTGCCCGACCAAGCCAAAAAAAAAACAAAACAAAAAAAAAAACTTAAGTTTTATTTTTGATTTAACATTCAGTGAAGAATTTCGATGTGGCCTTGAGGCAAAAGTTGTTCGATTTATTTTTTGCGTAACATTGTTGTTTTTCGAATGTTTTTGAGTTTTTTCGTTTTTTGCTTGGAGCTGTGCTGGTCCTTGCACGGGCTGGCTACCCGGGACCCGGGCGACCTAGCTACCCGGGACCCGGGCGACCTAGCTACCCGGGACTCGGGCGATTTGGCTCGTAGCCTAGGGTATGTAGAAAATAAACTAAACAACTTTTGTCTCGTGGTCATATCAAATTTCTTTATCAAACTTAAATATATACATAGTACTTTTTAATTTATTTACTTTTGGCCCAATTGGACCACTATGGTAAAAAAAAAAAAAAAAACAATGAAAAAATATGTTATGTAGAAAAATAAACTGAACTACTTTTGCCTCGGGTCACATCAAAATTCTTTTTAAATTTTAAAATTAAAAAAATATATTTTTAATTTTATTTATTTATTAGCCCAGCCCGACCACTCTAGTAGCCTAAAAAAAATCTGATTTTTTTTTTTTTTTACCAAGATGATCGTTATTTCTCGTTTCTTGCCTCAAAAGATTGCTGCTACTTGTCATGCTAAATACTATGTGTAATTTAGGGATTGGCTTGTGACTACCATCTTCCCCCAACATGACGTATAAACATTTTATTTAAGTTTTCATAAAAAATGATAAGTTCATCAATTTTTTCACAAATAAATGGCACGTGGATTGAACAGATTGCATACACTTTCTCTTCAAATTTCTTAGCAATACAATTGCTTTACTGGAATACAACACTCAAATAAGGATTCTCCCCATTCATCTGTATTTGCACTTGCCACTACCTTTTTTCATGGTGATGCGACCATATTTAGCTGCATATTCAATAGTTTTGTTTTTGGTTTCTTGGAATTGTTTGTGTTGTATCACCAACCATGGTCGCTACTGGTAGTGCACAAGAGAAAACGAAAAAATTTAATGTCCTTACAGAAAACTGGGCCAATGGAGCCCTGCTCTATCTCGACTTCCATGTATCAAATAATTTATGCTTTCTATCTAAAACACATACACATTACATCTGGGGAAGACAACTTAAATAGGTATCTCGAACTAAGTTATAAACTTCGAACATACTCACACTATGACTTTTCTATATGAAATGCATACTACTTATGGCTGGACTAGGGTGTATTTGACTGCAATTATGTTTAGAGGCTATCTGAAATACTAGTACTGGTGTGAAGAGACCCAAAACTAAAACTATTAATTACCGTTAAACCCTAATTATGCCCTTAACAATTGCAACCACTAACTGATGGACAATAACTTGAAATTATGGACTAGGATGTATTYGACTGCAATTATGTTTAGAGGCTATCTGAAATACTAGTACTGGTGTGAAGAGACCCAAAACTAAAACTATTAATTACCGTTAAACCCTAATTCTGCCCTTAACAATTGCAACCACTAACTGATGGACAATAACCTGAAATTATTTCCCTAGTAGACACCAATGACAAGAAAATACTAGTGACTCACATAGCAAAAGTAAAATAAAATAAAAAACATAAGCCATAGGGTAATCTAATCTTATCAACAAAAAGAGATAGTGAAAAAAATCAGTAATGTCTAATATTTCTCAAAGACAAGAGAAGCCAACCCCGTTCTTTGTCCGACAAAACTGGCGGAGAGAGAAACGAGGAAACCTGTTTAGTGCTCACAACATCTATCATCCATCCATTGATATGACCCTGCCACGCGCAGTTCAAGGTCCCACTCAACAACGGGTAAAATAGCCCAACCCACGATCCACTCAACAATGGGTAAAATAGCCACACACACACACACACACACACACACACACACACACACACAGAGGCAATGCCGTGTTCAATGTGCTGTGTGTGAGTTCTGCTGTGTCTCCCAAAAAAAGTCCCCCTCGCTGAACCCCATCCTCCCTGCAGAACAACAGTCTCCCCCCCCCCCCCCCGCCCCTCCCCCCCCCTCGGAAACCAAATCGATGAAAAAAATTAATATGAAACACCCCGAATTCGGGTGCCTCAGACAGGGCGCAGAACGGTCGTAAGGCCAAAAAAATAAAAATAAAAAATTTACTGTGTTTTTTCACGCGCCCGGTTTACCCGGACGTCGGACTTGCCTGGGTGCCCGGCGAGGTGTTAACGGGCTGGGCGTGGAAATCTTCCTACTAAGTTCCTAGATAATAAGAGAATAATTAATAATAATAATAATAATATAATAATAATAGGTCGGTCTCGAGTGGGATCATCACGTGAGACCGGCTATTTGCTGTATAAGAGTATATTAATGAAATATAAAGGAAAAAAAAACTGAAAAACTGAATAGACAAGACCCAGCAATTATACAGCAGAGTGATAACTGCAAAAAGCAGGAGAAGTGCATTAGGGGCGTGGATGTGCGTGAAGTTTTCACAAGCGGCAGAAGGGACAGCTGCCAACCACCTCTGTCAGTAGCTCCCCTTCCCAATCTACCGTGCATCCTCTACAAAGTCAGGAAGATCTACTTCAAGAGAAACTCTCTCTAGTATCGAAATGATGCTTTCGTCCCCACTTGTCATCCCTGGCCGATGGCGCATGTCGAGGCTAGCACACTGCAATCCCAATCGTGCCACCTTCCTGGTGAGTTCCATATCCCAGCCGTCTGCATTTGGGTCAAGAGCATTCCGAAATGCTCCGTCATCTTCCACTGCAGATTCAATTGTCTCATACGCGTTTGACATCTTGCCCGTCAGAATCTCCAGAACTGTGATGCCGAATGCATAAACATCAGTCTTCTCGTCCAAAATCCTCGACCGCCAATACTCGGGAGCTACATACTGGGAATCATTTGCCAAGTACATCAGCATGGTTGTGCGCTGTGCTTGGCCTCTCTCCTTGAGTTCTTGGCGAATCAATGCCTGGTCGACAGCACCAACCTTGGCCACAAGCTTGTCATCGAGCAGGATGTTTGCTGGCTTGATTGCCCCATGGATGATGGGACCTCTTGCTAGTGGCGGATGGGCTGAGTGAAGGAAAGACAACGCGTGAGCAACCTGTGCTATAATCCGCAAGCGAACATACCAGGGAAGGAAACCCGTTCCCGGCCTCTCTGCGTATTAAGATCTTGTCCATCACACTCCCATTTGCCACATGCTCATAAACCAGATTTCTCTGCATAGCAGGCTCCCATGAGCCTCAACAAATGAGGGTGGTGAAGCAACCGTAACCTATCGACCACATTCGACTTGAACTCTCCGTGATTGGAGCCATCGTCGACCATGACTTCAGCCCTTACCTTTTTCACCCACACTTGACCTGCAAGTTTCCCCAGGAAAGAATATCCATAGGGATCCCCATCACCACTCTTCCATTTGTCGTCAAAGCTATCTGTTGCATCCTGCAACTCCTTCACCGAGTACTCTCGAAACAGACTGAGTGAAGTTCTCTCTGCTGGACCATCACCCACTCCAAGGTGTGACCCTTGTAGCAGTTGTTGTTTTGTGACCTGTTCTAGTTTACCCTCCAGGTCCTCAACCCTCTGGCTGATTTTTTTCAGTTGATTTACCAGATTTGCCTTCTCCACCTCCAGAAATTGGGTCCTCTCCATGAGCTCTTCGCATAACTTGTCGGACTTTTGTCGTGCGGTCACCTCCTTTTGCAAGATTGATTCCACTTCTTGCATTCTGAGCCTGGCTTTCTCCCCCCCATCTTTTCCCTCCCGGATACTCTCCGCTTGGATTCTCTGCACTGCCCGGAGTTCATCAAGTGCCGAGTGCATATCGATAACTTTGTTTTCAAAGTCCCCTTTTGAAAACGCTGCCTCCTTTTCCAACTTCTCAATCCTCCTCATCAACACCCCCGGTTGCTCCTCAACCGCCTCCAAGACAAGAAATCCCTCGTAACTGCAAAGAATAATCCTGTTTGGATTTATGCAAGGGAACGTTTTACTGATTCCGCACAGTTGACTTGAATAGGATAAGACTAGTTCGTAGTTTGACTCGTCCCAAAATCATGACGTTCCCGGTCCAGTCTGCAGTGAAGATATATGGCAAGTGGGGGTGGAAAAAAACGGCACCCTTGAAACTTCCCTCGTGCCCTTCCAATTTGGCAATGCACGATGCCGCTTGTGGGGCTTGGTAATCCCAAACCCTTGCAACGTCAGTTTCGCCACCTGTGATCAGAAGTGGCTTTTGAAATTTGCAGCAGAACTGCAAACGCCGTATCTTAGGAATGCAAACATCTTGGATGGTATACATGACAGACCTTTTTTCGATATTCCATACCTGAATCGTGCGATCCTCTGATGAGCTTGCAAAGATCTGCGACTCTGTTGGGTGAAATGTCACTGCCGTGATGACTTTCAAATGACCTTTGAACACAATCTTCTCCCACCTTTTATCCCAGTCCCAAAGAGCAACAGTGTCCTCTCCGCCGTGTATCAAGCTGCATAGAAGATAAGATGAGGTCGGATGAGCTGCCATCACAGAACAATGATAGGACGGTCTCTCTAGATGCACCACAAACTTTAAGATCGAATTTTGAATTTCAAAGACATCCACCCGGTCACCACCGCATGCCACAATCCAATCTTTTCTCCCAATAAAATCTATCATTCAATATCCACGTCCAGGAGACCATTGTGCAACTCTTTTTCCCTCTTCATAGTCCCATATTTGAATTGAGTTAGGCCCAAAGGGCCCAAACTCACACTCTGCAAAAACTACTAGCCACGGTTTATCCGGGTGCAAATTTACGGCCCCCGTGTTTTTTCCAACTTGTTCCTTTGTCAATTTGAGCTTTGACACCAGTTGAAGCATGCTTCCTGACTCAGGTTACAGCCCTCCCCTACGGCCAGCTCCGGAATCTTCTGTTTAAATCGGAGAACTTATGAATGAAATACGGCTTGAAATTTCCAAACACGACACGATTATAGAGCCAAATGGAATAAGCTGCTCCTAAAATCATTCCAATGGCTGCTAATGTTGCCACGTTGGGCGCAGATTGATCCCTTATACTTTTCACCTAGCTATGACTGAATCAAACGATGCACAGTGGGGCGTTCACACCTCAGAGACTGCTTTGCCCCTGCTACCCTCAGCCGTCCGCGTTGGTAAAAAAATGGGCACCTGCCACAGCCAATCGCCAAAATCCCATACCCACCCACACATCCACCCCATTGAGGTTGTGTCTGTCTCATCGGTGGCCCGTTCACTATCAGGCTATCAGCAAAAGAGTGTGTGCACACCAGAACAGTGGGGACCTTGGTATGAACATGACGCAAATAGAAATAGACTAAGGGCGTTGCCGCACGGCACACGCAACGAAAAAACGCAACGAATGTAGCTCCCCCCAGAAAATGGCCAGGTTTATCGGTTTGCTATAAATAGTAACGAGTGTATGCACTCGTTTCGTTTCGTGTGCCGTGCGGCGAGACCCTAAGTGTTCTCTGTTTCCCTCGTTTTTTCGTCAAGTGAGAGCCTCAGGTGTCACTGACGATTTAAATTAATTTTGTGATTAATAAACATTATTTTCCTTCCCATCCCACCCCACCCCACCCCACCCCCCACTCGCGCTTTGCTACTACTGAGTCACAAGCCGAGCACTTACACCTACCACCAGCAGCGTTGAGTTTCCTCAACGCCTGAATCTGGACGTGTCTGTGGACATGTGCAGAAATCGCGTTGAGTGTTCTCACCCGCACATCTCCACGAACGCGTCCAGGTTCAGGCGTTGAGGAAACTCAACGCTGCTAGTGGGACCTGGCGCCAGATCAGGGATGACTTGGACACTCTACGTGGATATAATCCTACCCACCAGACCTCACTCCTGGGCCGAGGTCCCACCAGCAAAAAGGATAGGATCGAGCGCCTGAATCTGGCTGTATTTTATGCAGAGATGCAGAAAAGCAGTTCAAACTCGATGTCCTGCACCTCTCCACAAACACGTCCAGATTCAGGCATTCGATCCGACCCTCTTTGCTAGTGGGACCTCGCCCCTGGGAGCGAAGCTGTATATAGGCGCAGGAACCCCATTCCTCAGAAATATAACCCAGGTTACATTAGAAAGGGATTCCATGTTTCTGGCATGGTATTTGGCCTGGAAACGCCGTAGGTACGGCCCGCGTGAATACCTTTCTCAAATTGATTTATCGCGCTAAAGCTTTTTCTGTTGGCCGAGTTTTTTTTTTGTTTCAGAAGACCTGAAGACCGTTTCTCCATTGATGTGTGTCATGATGTCATCCTCGCGCAAGGGCCGTGCTGATCTTAGGAAAGGCATGATATTTGGCCTGGAAGCGCTAGGTACGGCCCATGTATGGTTTCATTCTGGATCTTGCTCTCTTCTTCTTTTTCTCCTTTCCCTCTGTTTCCCTTTGCTTCTTTTTCTTTTCCTTCACCTCCGCCCCACTCAAAAAATCTGCTCTCTGAATCATGACCCGTCTCTTCCTTGTGCGTGTGCTTGTGTGTGTTTGTTTGTGTGTGTGTGTGTGTTTGTGTGTGTGTTGTGTGTGTTGTGTGTGTGTTGTGTGTGTGTTGTGTGTGTGTGTG